ATGCAAGACTTCTTCAAGTTGGAAGATGAGAATTAATGAGCTTCTTCAAATATCTTCACGCCTTGACACTGGTTCTCAAAAGCTTGGTGAGAACTGAGATTGTTTAAGAGCTTTTGCTTGATAGTATTATTGAGTGAAAAGAACCAGCACCTTCTAAGTTGATGAAGGTGAGTTTATATAGGTGAGGGAAATTTCATCCGTTGGAGGGAGATGAAATTTCAAACCTATTATCCAGTGGGTAAGGACCGGGGAGCTTGCTGCATTAAATGCTCCATTAATGTGGTTTGTACCATGTAGCCGTTGAGGGCATGGACAGCCTTAGAGTTTTGTCCTTTAGCTTCAGAAGAATGGTACAACTTCATTTAATGCTCCTTGGTATACGTGTCCCACATGTTGAGGTCCTTTTGTTCCTAGGATGGTTAGTCAACTCAGACAGTAGTGACATTCTTCTTGTTATTGAAGAAAGTGAATGTCTTGATGAATCGTCATAATGATAACTGTCTCTACGAGGTGGTTGATAACCTTTGGTGATATTTCGTTGTTGATGCTTCTGACTTCGTGCTTTGTGTCTCTTTTCGTCTTGATAGCCCTAACAAATAAACATAACTCGTTTTCGTGTGTTTGTCTAGCTTAATACGAATTACAACGTGAGTTGTGGCAACTTTCGTCTAGAACGAAAGCAGCGATTAAAAATAACGAAGGTTAGGGGTCTACATTCTAGGTTACATTGGTATCATCAAAATCCTAATACAAGTGTTCCTAACAATTTTCCCCTTTTTGATGATGCCAAAACCTATACTCTTCTCATAAGGCTGATAAAAGACCTATAAAGGATTCTTTATTTCAAAACAGCCATTACTGAGAGTTTACAAGTCATTTCTAGATAAATACAAATAACAAACAGGACACTGACAAGCAACTTAAACAAGTAACACGAGATGTGTAACAACGAAGGGTTCATATATAGATAGTGAAACTTACAAAAAGTTTAAGGAGGGCAGAAAGTAAAACATCTTACATCTCTAAAAGTTTCGTCTTCTGCTGCTTGGACTCCTTGTATTCACGAATGTCTCTTTCTCTTTGCTCCTTGAGCATTCTGTCGGTGTCAATTTCTTCATTGATTCGTTCTCTGAAAACCTTGATTGGATTCTCCCTAACCAGATCTTCGTATTTTCCCTTGATGTTGAGGCTTATGTAATTATTGTAAGCTTCAAGAATGTTTTCTCCCTCAACAATTCCTAACTTCCACCACGAGATGAGCTCGAAAGAATGCATCCCTTCTGTATAGCCTTTTCCAGATTCCGCATGTACTTTGAAAGCTGCATTGTAAATGACTCCATGTTCAGAGTTTCTGGTCACTTTCGTGAGATCTTTAATCAGCTCCTTTACCCGCTCTCTTTCCTGAAGTTTGTGTTCTCTTTTACAAGCTTCTTCTTCATGTTTTTCCCACAGCACTCTGTTCATCCTTTTGATCCTTTCGTTTTGAGAGCTTATGTGGTACTGCCTTGTGTGATTGTGTAACACCCCAGATTTTCAGGATATTTAAAACTTATAAAATAAAGGTGAAATCTCGTTGAATCCCAAAACATAATACAAGAGTATGGGGTGCTATGCCACACCTAAGCTAGAGAACTCAGGTGCACAGGCTAACTGACTAATATCCTCAAATAGCATCAGTACTAAATCATGGCACGCAGGCCGAAAGGGAAAAATTATCTAAACTACGTCCAAGCTTCTAGCGCGCTCCAGTGAACTACTTGTCTGTGCCTGAAAGCCAAATATATCTGTTCAGCGAGAGATGCTGGTAACCCACTCCAACGCGTTGAAATACAATACATATAGAGATATATATAGATATACGAAAACCATTTTGAGCATGAAGATATATCCTACGAACTCTAGCTTTTAAAACCGGGAATGACTCGACAGATAAGGCTAGACACAAGCAACAGTTATAACAAGCGTATACAATCCACAACAGGCAAGACAGATAAAGCTGAGCACAATTAATAATCATAACCCAACATAAACAATCCCCAGCATAAATCCCATAGTCACATCCCCCAAGATACTCGTAGTCACAACTCATCCATATCTCAACACATAGCACACTTTGTTGGCGCCACAGGACCAATCGCATGCCCATACATGAGGGTCAGCGCATATAGCTCTGACACGGCCCCGCAGCACCCTGCCCCGTATCGCAACACGGAGGGGTCGATCGCAACCGACCGATGAACCGCAGTTCATCATAGTTTGATCGCAACCAAACAGTGGACCGCAGCCCAAGAGTATGTCATCTGACCGCAGCCAGGAAAGTATGAACCGCAGTTCATGTGGAAACGTTTGATCACAACCAAACGGTGGACCGCAGCCCAAGAGTGTCAATCTGACCGCAGCCAGCTTCTGAACCGCAGCTCAGGAATAACCAATCCGATCGCAACCGAATTGGGGTATCATGCACACATAACACATAGCAAGCACATGCAACCCACATTAACACATTGGGGAGGGGGAGAAAACGTATAACAAAACCTATATGTGATCCTTCACATACTAAGAATAATCCTAAGGGGTTCATGCTTCTTCCACCTAGGTCAACAGGATACCAATTCAACTAGCATGCAAAATAAAAGACTCATACAACCTACGAACGGTACCCAAAATATCCAACTAGACATAGGCATGATAGACGGAGTCCGTAGGGACACCCCGGGGATCGGGGAAAACATCAAACGGGGAGGCCGGGGTCCCGAATGGGAATTTCCAGCGGGTAGCCGGTGGGTGGGGGGCCACCCGCCGGCTGCCCGCTGCCGGGACTGCCCTCTTTGACCGCGGGTAGGTGGCGGGTCCCCTACCCCCCACTAACTCTTTATACACAAAACGCCCCGGGAACCGTTGTGGAACCCGAAACCATGCTTAGACACTTTACAACGCAATTAACGATCAACACGTAGACAATTAACGGATCAAATACGAGAAACGTACGGCACATAACCTATCATGCTTTTCTAAACATAATTGTCACCCAAACATGCGATTTCCCCACCCGATATACCAAGAATAATATCATACGATTCAACCTAGGGTTCTAATCACTTTTACATCAACAAGAATACGGTTCGTCTTCTAATTACAAGATTCGGTACAAATAACACATAAGCATCAAGAACGCCATACAATCACCCAATTAGAATCACTTAAAGCTTCTTCTATGGATTTTGGTTCCATTTGTGATAGGAAACAAGCCATCATATTTTCGTGTAGAGAAGCTTTTGTTCTTACTCCTTCTTGAACGTTTCCAATTACTTGATCCGGAGGATGATCTCTTAACCATCTAAGATCGGGTTCAAATGCATTTTGCTAATTTTGTACATCCATTTCAGGGATATAAGGTAGCTCAACATAGATCATAGGTTCAGATGGGGCTTGAATATCAGGGATATTTTGTTGTACACCATTATTTTCTTGAGCTGTAGCTTCGGGTTCAGAAATCTTCAACTGATATTTCGTGTAGGAGGTTAAGATGTCTTCGTCATCTGAGACTTCTTCTTCATTTGGTTCTTGAGAGCTTTGATTTGGATTACTTGGATTGACAGACGGTTCAATGCCAACTGAATTTTTCTCAGATTGTTCATCAACTTGACATGTACGGATTCCTCGATAACCATTGTTCGTTTGTTTAAGACTCTAAAGGCCTTACTTACTGAGGAATAACCCATGAACAATTCTTCGTCTGCTCTTTCGTCGAAGGATTTCAGATGATTCTTCCCATTGTTGTGGATAAAGCACCTGCAACCAAAGATATGAAAATAACCTATACTAGGTACTTTACCTTTCCACAGTTCGTATGGAGTTTTGTTGTGGGACTTGTTGATCAGGGATCGGTTTTGTGTATAGCATGCTGAGTTTATGGCTTCGGCTCAAAACCGCTTTGGTAGGACTGAGTGAGCAATCATTGTTCGTGCAGCTTCTTTCAGGGTTCTGTTTCTTCTTTCGGCTACTCCATTTTGTTGAGGAGTTCGTGCTGCCGATAGTTGATGAAAGATTCCATTCTGTGCACAAAAATCTTTTATGACCTTGTTAACGAATTCAGTTCCTTGATCTGATCTTATTCGAATGATCTTGACCTCTTTTTCTGTCTGAAGTTGTCTCAATAGATTTGGAAGAACGATTTCTGTTTCATTCTTTTTCTTCAAGAAGAGCACCTAAGTATATCTCGTGTGATCATCTACTACGACGAGAGTATACTTTCTCCCACTCAGACTTGCTGGATCAACTGGTCCGAAGAGGTCCATATGTAGGAGACTTAAAGAACGAGAGTTTGCATCCACATCCTTGGATTTGAAGGATGATTTGATTTGTTTTCCCTTTTGACATGCTTCACAGATCTTGTCTTTCATGTAGGATGCTTTAGGTAATCCTTTCACGAGATCTTTCTTGGCTAGCTTGTTGATTGTTTTCAGATTTAGATGACTCAGTTTGTTGTGCCATTCTTGACTTAGATCTGCATTACTCTTAGCCACAAAACAAACGTTAGCGTTAGAAGAATTCCAAGAGATTACGTACATATTTTTCTTTCGTTGGCCGGTTAATGCGATTTCGCCATCTCTCGTGTTGACTATGTTGCATTTGTCCTTGGAGAATTCGACTTTGTAGCCTTTGTCACAGAATTGACTTGTGCTCAGAAGATTGAATTTTAGCCCTTCAACGTATGATACATCTTGGATGGTTATTCCCTTTTTTGATGATGTCTCCTGTTCCACGAGTTTTGCCACTAGTTTCACCTCCAAAGATGACTTTAGGTCCATCGACTTCTTTGAAATTGCTCAACATTGTTTTGTCACCAGTCATATGTCTTGAGCAGCCACTATCGACATACCATATGACTTGCTTGTCCTACAAGAAAGATTATATATATTTAGGTACCGCTTGAGTTTCGGGTCCTTGGGGGTTAGATGTCAACTTTGGAATCCACATGAACCTAGAGTTTCCTCGACTCATCCTTGGTCCTCTATATCCATTAGATGTACGGTAATCATAATGGATCTTGGCAAAGGTTTTAGCATTATATCTCTCGTGAAAATATTCTTCAGGAGGATTTTCATAATACTTGGAATAATTAGTTTGTTTACGCAGATGAACTTTTTCAAATTCAGCTCTTGATAGAGGTTCTGGGTAATCAAACCAATCTTCCTCTGATGGCCCAGTCCATCCATTGCCATAACCAGATCTTTTGAGGGATCTTTCGTTTTGTCTGATTCGTTCATTTCTCGGGGTTCCTTGGTCAGGATTCTTTCGTGTTGGTTTTGGACGATACTGCCTCTGGTTAACATTCGGCCTACTCCTTGATTGAATATTCCTGTAAGGCTGACCCTTTTTATGATTTAGATTTTGTCTATTACCATTTGGTCCATTCCTTTTGACATATCTTTGTCTAGGATTGCCTTTGAAGGATCTTTCATTTCCAGGATCCACGATTCGTTGTACAGCCTTGCCTTTCGGTTGGCTTGTTGATTGTGGTATGGCGACATTGTTAACTTTCGTCATAGGCTCAGACACCTGGGTGGGGCCTTGAACAAATGCTGATTGAAAACTCTCGTGAGAATAAGCATTGGTGGATTTGTTCAAGCCGATTTGTGAAGAGGAGCTGGGGTCAAAACCAATTCCCGTTCTTTCCCCGGGCAGTCTAGATTCGTTCACCATTCGGTCCATTAAGTTGGATGAATTGTTGAATTTATTCAAGACTTCACGTAATTGTTGCTCTCTCTTTTCTCTTTCTGTACACTGCTCTTTCAGAGCGAGAACATTTTCCTCAAGTTGCTTCTTAGCAATGGCTAGCTTTATGTTCTCAATTCGAACTTGCCTTAGCGCATTGTAGCTAATCATAAGCCGAGAGTTCTCCTCCTTCAGTTTAGAGTATGTGTTTTTTATTATATTGAACTTCCTCATCATTTTAGTAACTGATTCATTGGAAGTTTGACTTCTTATAGAACTAGACTCTGCTGAATAACAGGAGGATGATTGGGAATTTACCTCATCATCATCGGCCATAAGGCATAGCTCTTCTGACTCTTGACTAAACAGACATAGCAGCCCTTTTTCTTCTTCGGTACTTTCGTCCTCCGAACTTGAGCTTGAGGAACTGCTTTCGGCTTCAATAGTGTCAAATGGTTCGTTAACTGCCATGGATTTTCTTCTTCTTTCATTTCTGGAGTTCGATGATTCTGGCTTATCATTTCTTTTGTAGCTTTCTCCAGATTCTTTGGATGAGCTTTTGGTAGCACTGTCGTCTTGGTACTTGCTCACAATTGGATGGGGACAGTTTGCCTTGAAGTGTCCTGGCTTTCGACAGTTGTAGCACAGCAATTGCGAGTCTGAAATTTCTGGCTTTGAGGTTTGAGGTGAACTCTCGTGTTGCCTTCGGTGTCCCGAACGGTGAGAATCTTGGAAGTTGTTCTTCCTCATAAACCTCTTCATCTTCCTAACAAATAAGGCATATTGTTCGTCAGATAAAAATTCACAAGATTTAGATTTTGACCTGTTAGATGTTGATGCTTGCTGGTTGGCCACGAGAGCTATGTTTCTCGTTTCAGGTTCTGCAGCATCTTTCGGTTCATGCTCAAATTCGTAAGCCTTAAGATCACTGAAGATCTTGGCTGTGCTTGTAGTCTTCATGTCTCGGTTATCTCTCATTGCAATGACTTTCATTTCCCAAGACTTCGGCAGACCACGAAGAATCTTCAGGTTCTTTTCTTTCTCAGTCAATTCCTTCCCGAGATCTGACAGATCACCCATGAGTCTGGTGAACCTCAATTCCATGTCCGTGATAACTTCATTCCGCAGCATCTTGAAGTCCTCAAACTTCTTCATGGCCACTTTCAGTTTATTGTCCTTCTCCTGTTCATCTCCTTCACCCAGGTTCATCAGAACATTCCACATCTCCATAGCATTTTTGCATTTTCGGACTCTGGGGAACAAGGAATCATCGAGAGAGTTGTAGAGAATGTTTCGTGCCACATTATCCAAGTTCGCCCTTGTTCTTTCCTCCGAGGTGAGTTGATCCTTTGGTTTCGGTACCATCTGCGCAGCACCTGCTCCTTGAGCTGCAGCTTGTGTGTTTGCCATCATGACTGTGATTGGTCCTGTGGTTATTACATCCCACATTTCGTCATGTATTGAGGAGAGAAGAGCCTGCATTCTGACTTTCCAGTCATCAAATTTTGAGAGGCTAAAAGCAAGCTGCTTAGAGCGGTTAGCATGATCCTTTTCCATTTTAAAAAAATGTGCAAAGTTGAAAATATGCAGATTTTTAGAAACTTTTGATAAGGGATCTACCAGGCAGTAAATGAAAAGCCTTTACCGATCAAGGTATTTGCTCTGATACCACTTATTGGTCTTGGTAGGGTTATAACGAGAGTCTAGAGGGGGGGGGGTGAATAGACTCTTTTCGGATTTTGCCAAATAACAACCTTTCGGTGTTACAACGCAGCGGAAATATTAGGTTCGTTTTAATTTCTTTGCACAGTTTGATGTTTTAATGAAACTTTCGGTTTGGGCGCGAATGATGATATGATGCAGAAAGTAAATCGCTAAAATAAAGAGATAAAGAGATGAGAGTTTTTATAGTGGTTCGGCCAACTTTGCCTACTCCACTATTCTTCCACAACTTATGGAAGGTTTGCACTATCACTCGTTAGTACAAATACACGAAAGCTTCCTTGATCACTAAGCCAGACAGCTTCCTGTAGGTTTTTCAACTCCGCGAGTTTACTCCGCCTCTATCAACGTCTTCTTCAGAGTTGAGGTTGGTAGAAAATGATTTCTGATTTCTCCAACATGGTGAAGTCTTGACTGAATGAAGGGTGATTGCTTCGTATAAGATGCAAGACTTCTTCAAGGTGGAAGATGAGAATTAATGAGCTTCTTCAAATATCTTCACGCCTTGACACTAGTTCGCAAAAGGTTGGTGAGAACTGAGATTGTTTAAGAGCTTTTGCTTGATAGTATTATCGAGTGAAAAGAACCAGCACCTTCTAAGTTGATGAAGGTGGGTTTATATAGGTGAGGGAAATTTCATCCGTTGGAGGGAGATGAAATTTCAAACCTATTATCCAGTGGGTAAGGACCGGGGAGCTTACTGCATTAAATGCTCCATTAATGTGGTTTATACCATGTAGCCGTTGAGGGCATGGATAGCCTTAGAGTTTTGTCCTTTAGCTTCAGAAGAATGGTACAACTTCATTTAATGCTCCTTGGTATACGTGTCCCACATGTTGAGGTCCTTTTGTTCCTAGGATGGTTAGTCAACTCAGACAGTAGTGACTCTTCTTGTTATTGAAGAGAATGAATGTCTTGATGAATCGTCATAATGATAACTGTCTCTACGAGGTGGTTGATAACCTTTGGTGATCTTTCGTTGTTGATGCTTCTGACTTCATGCTTTGTGTCTCTTTTCGTCTTGATAGCCCTAACAAATAAACATAACTCGTTTTCGTGTGTTTGTCTAGCTTAACACGAATTACAACGTGAGTTATGGCAACTTTCGTCTAGAACGAAAGCAGCGATTAAAAATAACGAAGGTTAGGGGTCTACATTCTAGGTTACATTGGTATCATCAAAATCCTAATACAAGTGTTCCTAACAATATATATATTTATTTACCAAGTATTTTATATAAATATAATAAATATTAATATTTTGTTCAATACTTTCACATGATAACCTACGACACACATCTCACAACGCATGAACATGTAGGGAAAAGACTACCACTACCAAACATCAATAGGTGTTTGTAAGATAAAGAGTTAATAGTACAATTAAGATCTCATCATATATACCACAAGGCAAATCTAAATCTTCCTACACCATAATCTCATTGCACGATGAATCCATCTATGTTACCACCAATAACCCAATTACACATGACACACTACCAACAAAAAAATAAAAAATAAAAAATAAAATTAAAAGAAGAAGAGAGAGGACATGTACTGAAGATGAAGACAATGACAATGCTACCCAAAAGAGAATTAAGAAGAATTAGAGAAATTTAAATCAAAAGTGGTATTTATTTAGACTATCGTTTTTAGACTAAGTATTTAGACCAGCGTTATTACAAAGTTACAAACATTTATTTTGGTGACAATATAATCAATCTCTCATATATTATCTTGCATTTATATACTTTAAATTACCGATTTAATAAACAAATTCAATATTTATTTACTTATGCATGAACATCTCCAATATAATACTTACATTAATATACTTTGAAATATTAATTTAAAAATAATCATTGGGCATTATTCCATTCGCGTAAAGTGCGTAAAACAACTAGTACTAAAAATAAAAGTCAATTAATGATTGAACTTTGAAACTCGATCTCTTGAAACTACTCCCATGTCATTTTTTTTTAGTGACCAAACAGGCTCTTTTTTTTTTCACTTGTTTTCTTTAACATTTTTTTAAAATTTTTAAATTTAAAGTTTTTTTGGGTGTTTAATAGCACCTTTGATGTACTTTTTAAATATAAAAGTTTTATACAAACACCGCACTAAACTAAAAATTATTTTTAAAATTTTAAATTATAAATAATTTGAGTTATTTCTCGTTAATTGAACTTGACACATAAAATGAAGCAGATAAAGTAATTATTTAGCATAACAAAAGAAATTCGCAGTTACCAATTTACCATCACCTTTACTCGAGAGTGTGCACTAGGTAAATTCTAACTTAAGACCTCAAGGAGGTAAACCAATTTGGTTGTTCATGATTGATCAGCTCAAATTAAGAAGATCAGATCAATAAGTTTCTTCTATTGAGAGTCAAACTTGTAACTTTATAATTACTAAAGTAATAACTTGACCAATTTGACTGGTTACCCTCAAGTTAAGTCTATGTAACTAATGTAAGGTGGATTATATTGGTCTATATTTCATTGAGATGATCGAGTTTGGTTAGTAACTTCTGAATAGTTAGGCTTTTTTTTTTTTTTTAATAATCTTAATATGTTATTGAAACTCCAAATCATCTTTTCTTTCTTATCTGGAGAAGTATGCTCTAAATCTCATGGGTTAGATATGTCCGGATAAGTTTTATAAAATATGTATGAAAAATAGTAAGAATTTTTAGAGTCCCTTTACTTCAAGAAATTGTTCTTATATTTTTTTAATAATTTTTTTATTTTTATTCTTTATTTTATATTATCTGTTTTTTGTATATTTAGAAAACTTATTTACTAACACTCATTTTTTCGAATTTATTGTTTAGACTAACATTATAAAACTAGCACAAGTTTAATTTCAAGTGATTTTTAGATCTTATATTTAAAATATTTGTGGATATGTTTGTTTTAAATGGAATAAATAAAATGTTTACTACTTTTAAGTCTAATATATGTAAGATTTTTACTTTTGATATCGGAACCAATTTATATCTATATACTCCGTATAACATAACTAAAAATATATCCAAACCAATGACCTATTAAGTTCACCTAAAATTTAGTTTAGATAATATTAATATATATATATATATATATATATATATATATATATATATATATAAAATTTTTGAGCTAATATTTTTAGATATATTCATTTGAAAGAAATGTGTGTGTGTGTGTGTGTGTGTGTGTTTGCGTATTACTTAATTACTTTGAAATTTAATATATGTGAAATTTTGATATCTGATATTCGGACCAAACTTGTATTACGATATAACATAACTAAAAATATTTGAACCAATTCCCAATAATCTATTGAGTTCAATCAAAATTTAAAACTTGGTGTATTGTTTAAATTTTAATTGTGATAATGTGAATTATATCTAACTTTAAGCATAATCAAATAAATTATGGTACCAAGACTATGTAGTCTAATGGTATCTGGGTTAGACTTCCATTTGGAAGGTTGTGAGTTCAAATCTCAGTGGAGGTGTTATTGGTTCTTTACAATGTAATATGGCCATAATGTTATATAACCATATAATTTATAGATGATTTTGTTTAAAGTTTTCTAGAAAACTAGAAACATTTTTCAATTTTCAAAATGATGAAAAATTGTGCTATTAAGTATGTTTTTATTTTGCTTTCAAAAAAAATATGTTTTTATTTTCTATTCTCTAATAATTTTCTTTTTGAGTACTCTATTCTTTAATTTTCTAATTTTTCATAAAACTGGAAAATTCTCGTGTGAGTAAATAAGCAGTTAATGTGCAAATTTCGATATATTGCTTGTTTAAGAATACATATAATGGGTTGTTCATGGATGATTTCTTGTAGATATGCAGGTATAACGTGGACCATCATCATTCTCTTATCATGAATTCGTTGCTAGAACTTTCCAACTGAAATTGAATTGAAATTGCCAAATTGATCGAAAGAAATTCCAAACCAAATTGATGAGTCCATTCCAAAAGACAAGAATGTAGAGAGTAGTAGTTGTGGTATTAAATATTTTGATTGGAGTTAATTCCATTTTTAGTTCTTAATTTATAGGTGACAGTCTATTTTTAATTTTTTTTTTTCAAAACATCTTCCTTTGGTCCTAGTATTATTGTGGCATGACCATTTTTGGTCATCTATCAATAAAATAGTTCAAATTGTATTAAATACAAGAACATTTTGGTCTTCAATTATATATTTTTTCAAAAAGATAAACATAAAAAATATAAGGGGTCACACACTTTGTTTTAAAAAGATACACATAAAAAATATAAGGGGTCACGAAGTAGCTTGCGGGTTTCTCCGCCCGATCTGGACGGAGAAACCCGTCGGCTTCATCATTAGATCGGACGGAGAAACCGCTAATTTCTATGTCCGTTTCGGACGGAAAAGCCAAGCACCAGTTTCTTCGTTCGAAACGGATGGAGAAGCCAGCCGCTGGCTTCTCCATCCGATTTGAACGGAGCAGCCATAGCTTCTCCGTTCTTAACTTACCGTGAAGCTTGCCTGCTTCTTCGTCTTGGGCGACTTTCTATTTTTTTTAATTAGTTTTATTTTTTACTTTTAGTTTATTTTTATTTTTGAATAGAATGTAGGATGTCGTGCAATCAAAATTAACTGATTACCTGTTGGTAACCTGTTAAATATGTTAATTGAACATTTTTAACAAGTGTAAGGGTTCAATTGAATTTTTTTTTAGTTCGAGGGTCTAACTGCATTTTGACATATAATTGGAGGACTTATTTGACCCTTATCTCAAAAGGAAATTAACTCTTTTAATTGTTTAATCACTATTCACAAGGCAAGTTTTTATGAAGTAATTAAT